TTGGTCAAGATCAAGCGAACCTCCATTTTCAGCAGCTTCTCTGAAAAAATTAATTACATTAACCTTTAGAATGTATAAATACAAACCTTCTATGACAAGTTCAAAGCATTAAAAATAAATATCACAATCACGACATCAAATACAAATAGTTTAGGATATCTTTATTATGAAATCAAGTCAAAATAAAAAACAAGGAACTCTTCATTGCTCTCAATGGAAACAAGCAGGAAAGTTTAAATTGTTCACGTTTGGGAAATAAAACCACGACTCGCACATCATTGAAAGCATTCTTCACAAGAAACAATTTGAAACAAAAGAATATTTAACCAAGTCATAGAATCTCAAAGTCTTTGTATGTCACACACGAGGGGAAAAAAGAACCTTCCTTCACACATTTTTATTAAATCAAACTAGAGTGCTGAGATGATCAATCATTACTGTTGTTCACAGACAAAAACAAAGAGAACTAAATAAGAGCTAAATTGTATAACCAACCAAAGGTTGTACCATGGGTTTTAAACTATTAAAAGAACGAAGTCAGAAGGTGTAAGAAGAACAAGAAGGGTTATTCTGTGCAATGTGAACTGAAATCTCCATAACACCCATGTGTTTAATTCTGCTCTAAGGTTCAAGAAGATCCGAAAAGACTCATTCCCGTGTTCATGTAAGAGGCTCGCTCATCATGTAGGAGTAGGAGGGTAGTACTGGTTGTACTGAGCGTACTGGTTGTACTGCCCCCATGAATTTTGTCCCCAGCCGCCATACTGTTGCTAAAAAGCAAACAAAGAAAAAAATATTATTCAACAAGTTCAGACAGAGCATAATCTTATCTTACATTATCTCACAGACTACTCCACAAATACAAAAGGGAAAAAACAAAACAAAAGGGAGCGAGTTGTGAGACAAACATACCTGGTACCAGTTGTAGTTGTATGCAGAGTTGTTGGCCGTCATGTCCGTCATTGCAGTTGCAGCAACTGCAGAAGGGTCATCTGCACGTTGTCTTTTGGCATCAGGTTCTTGAGAGCTGAAGAACCAAGTTCAGATTAGCAAATGCCTGCATAGGACTTTTAAAAGTAATGTTAGTTCTGTGTCTTTATTTGGGTGCAGCCATGCTTGTGTTTGGAACATTAGCAATCAAAAGTTGTTCCACTGGTCAAACACTTGAAAAACATATTCAGAAAATGTAGATGTGAGACGACCATTACTCACCTGTCATACCCGTTCTCTGCCTTCCTCTTTAAAGATTCACTTTCTTTTTGCAGTTTTCGCTGTTCCTCATATGCAGCTACGAGCCTGGAAGAAGTAGATAAAAACAATCAGTGAGACAAAGAATAAATAGCGATATTTATTACTTTCAATTCACAACTACAGAAACTCACATATTTATGTCACTGCCAAAGTCTTCCAAAAATTCGACCTTGCGCTGGGAAAAGACGATGCGAGACTCCAGGGACATGGGGCTCTTCAAGGCGCGGTCGAAACAAGCCAATATCTCAACTTCGTTCTGCTGAATATCTCCGCTGAACTCCATCTCAAGCAAGTTCAAGTATAGTTTTGAACTAGTCTGTAGACACAAAAGTTTATTTTAATCAGAAAAAACAAAACATTACCTTTGTAAGGAATATCAGTTTTGTTAACTTATTCTTTTCATATATGAATATTCTCTGCTCAGTGCCCTGCGATGACTTCTGTCGTGACTTGGCGCTATACTCGGCCTGTCACGATAACACATTTTGCTGGTCGATTAATTGTCACGGAGATTATTGCAATAAACAATAACATTGTTTGAAATTTGACAATAATTAGTAATTATAGGCAAATTTAAAAAGAAATGCTGGTTGATTTGTTTTGTGTGTACCTTTTTTGACCACTGAATAGCAGTATAAGACTGTTTGAACCGAAGGATGGATAGTGAGGAAGCGAGCAGTGGCTCTTTAAGAAAAATGGGAGGGAGGCCCCTTGACGTTACATGGGCCGTGTCTCCTTTTTTTTGGGTTCTCAAAATGGCCTCTGCTCTGTGTGGTTTGAGCTCTTTAGCATAGCATGTCACAAAGTGTTACAAAAAAATTATAATAAAATAAAAAAATCTGTAAAGTTCTCGCTTCTTTTTGCAGAGAAAAGCAACTTTTAGACGAAGGCACGAGTTTCAACTGTGAATTTTGAAGCTTTGACAAGATGGAGACTCACCTGGTCTTTTTCGATAGCATCGAGCAGCACCTTCTTTGCCTTGCTCAGACTTCTCTGAATCTTCATCAGCTGCCTGGCCAGCTTCACAGCATAAAACGACGCCTCAGTAGCATCCTTCGCAGACTCCATCGCTTCCCTCAACAGTGCTTCCGCTCCTTCCAAGTTACCGTGGCGACGCTCCATACTGACCCTCCGCAGACGTGCCATGGCCAGACCCGGAATGGTCGTCTCCAGGGACACCATGATTTGACGAGCCTCATCCATGCAGCCTGGACAAAAAATAAATAAATAAGTAAGGCACAACACTCAAAACTTAATAATAATAATAATAATAACAATAATAATAATAATAATAATCAGCGAGTTGCATGAATGAGTCCTTCACCTTGTTGCTCCTCAAAGGCTGCCCACATCAGGTGGATGGAGGGTTTCTTTGGGAGGTGGATGGTACACGCTTTCTTGTAGACATGTCTCACTCCATCAATGCTGAATCCCTCTAGATATTTTGCATACTTTAGAGTGAAAAAAGAAAGCAAGATGGAAGGAATGCAGGAGAGGACAGAAGAAAAAAGAAAAGAAGAAAGAGAAAAGCAAAAAAAGACGACGAAATATTTAAAACCTATCAAATTAGCGGATGCAGACAGTGAATTGCTTCATTGACAAGATCGTTCTTAGAAATTTTCTGTGTAAACCCATCAGCACCTTCATGGAACCAATTAGATAAGTTTCTGTAAGGTAGTGGGAGACGAAGAAGATGCAACGTAGTAGTTGGCAAATGCTGCAGTCAAATCTTGTGTGGCAAGCTGGCCATCCCCTAATACAACAGATACAGTCACATATCAACGTTACACGCAAAGAGAGTGAAGGACGTTGCACTGAGTCGATGTGAAATCATCGTTGATGGGGAAGTGCAGGGAGGCAGCAGCGATGCGAAGGCAGTTCAAGATCACGCTACCTTGATCCAGAACTCCTCGTAGAGTGCACAGGCGATGAGGCATCGTTCAAAGAGGACCACCACGCGCTCCGGGGTTCCGTTTTCTATTTCGAAGTCCAGGTACTCCTTCCAGTTGTTCAGCTGTGTCTTCTCCAAGGCTTTCACGTGGAAGTATGGTCTCTTAATCTGACAGGAAACAAATAATTCAGTAAGTCAATGATGGGAGAAACAAAACATCTATTTTTTAACAAAAGTTGAAGGAAACAAAAACATACCCCTTCTTCAAACGCCCAGCGCTTGCTAACTTCATGTTCATTGTGGTTGAACACTTCCTGGCGAACCTCAATTACTTTGTGGCGCATGTTCTCAATCTCTGTCACTCTCTACATAAGAAAACACACGTACAAAAAAGAAAAGTTTAGAAACTGAATTCATTCTCCTTTATACATCGTTCTCCACTTGATGTCAAATCTAGCGCTGCTACCAAAGATTTACATCACCATGATTTAGCCATAGACAAGATGCCTGTAGAGGGAAGAGGTATGGCTGTACCCTGCACATCAGTCTCTGGGTGCAAGAGTTGGGTTCAAGCAAGCCTGGATGGAATCAGGTTAGTTGTAGGACATCCAACATTTTTCAGTCCGGTCATCTGGACAGTTTCTTTTTGGAGGAGGGGGTGTACCGAAGAGACCATCTTATTACAAGCAGAACTGGTTTGTTCCACTTTGGAGTAAGCTTTTGGGGGAAGAATCAGTTTTGTTGTGCGTTTCCTTGACTGATGAAGCCTTCCGGAGCAAAGGCGAAACGTTTCAGCACAAAAAAAAAAAAAAAAAAAAAACTATCCAGATGACCAGACTGAATAATGTTGGATTGTACACCTGGATTATTGAGCATAAACTGTCGTTTTCAACCAGTTTGACAAGACTGTCAACAAGGAAGAGGGCCAGCAATGGAGGAGGGGGCGTACCAAAGAGACAATCTTATCACAAGCAGAACTGGTTTGTTCCACTTTGGAGTAAGCTGTTGGAGGAAGAATCAGTTTTGTTGCGTTTTCTTGACTGATGAAGCCTTCAGGATCCAAGGTGAAACGTTTCAGCACAAAAAAAAAAAAACCTGTCCAGATGACCTGACTGAACAATGTTGGATTGTATACCTGGATTATTGAACATGGACTTTGTAGTTATAGAACATGTTCCTAACTGGTTGCCAAGTTGAATCTTACTTGCATTCACTGACTTGGCTGATGACATAAAAACACTTCTTCAAACCTGAACCACTTCAACTGCATCCTGTGCTCCAGCATCAACGTGTGGCATGCTGTTCAGTGTAGTTTTTATGCTTTTTTTTTAATACTACTAGTGCTTAGTGTATTTTTAATAACGTTGTTCTTAGTTCATATCTTAGATCTTATTACTGTTTCACTTTTACATTTTAATACTTTTGTTGGATGTAACTGGGACTGTTTACATAATTTCATCCCACATGTGGTGGAATGACAAAGAACCTTGAATCCTTCAGTCCATTTGATCACGGACAAAAGGCAAGCTCCTAAACCTGCATGTAAAAATGTGTTAATTTGTCTTCCCTAATAATAAGATTTATACCTTAGCAGGATCAGCAAGATCCTCTGTACCAGGTGGTAGCTCCTCCTGAGCAACACTTGGCTCTCCGTCTTCACCAACCATTGCAGACAGGCTGGTTTTAGACAACTCGTGTCTGAGCTGAAGGAACTCCTCTTCTAATAAAAAGTATTTGGGGTGGTTGCTCTGCACGTGATCCTTGAACCTATGAAGATTAAAAAAAAAAAAAAAAGTAAAATAGATATCACCCATTCATTCATTCAACCTTTATTTATCCTCAAAGTCCATGCAAATAGATCGGGTATGGCTCAAGAGGGCAAACACAGAATGAAGGGTAGGTTCAATAAAAAGTGACAATGTTTTATATATACCTCTGAAAGTGCTGGGAATACAGCTGGGTTGGGATACCCAAAATGCGATCATAGATGGCTGTGACATTAGCCAGCTTCTGCTGCTCTGTTTCCCAGTTTACATAGGCTTCCCAAAGGCGATCTGAGCGAAAGTCTGTGCCTGCTGCAAGAACTGCATGTTCGTAGGAGCTAAAGAGAGGGGGGAAAAAAAAAAAAATCACTTGATTTTACTTCAACCAGAAGAGGAAAAATTAAACGTAATTTTGTATTAGTTAAATGCAATATCTTAAAATGACCAGATTTTAATACATTCCTGATGTTCTAAACTTTGACAGCTTAAAGGGTAATGACAAAAACTCGTACTTACGCTCGAATACGTCCCTCAGTTTCAGGGTCACTGAGATCTGAATTCTCCTTAATAAAAGTGAGATAGTGAAGCCAAAGGTCCACACTAAGAGGAATGGCCTGTAAGCCTCTTCTGTACACCTAGGAAAATTTAAAACAATTTGTCATTTGCTGAAAGGATTTTACAATGTTCTTAAAAAACATTCAACAGTTCTGTATGAAGCCTGTAAAAGTTTCAAACAATATGGTGCTAAATAAAAAAGCTCATGTAAAGTAGAAGTAAAAATAAACAAAAGAATTCAAACACTCAAACCATTTACCTCTTCTGCAACCTGTATATCGCCATGCTTTTTCTCAAGGTCTGCATACTTCTTCCAGTAGCCATAGCAGTACGGGTATCGCAGGAAAAACATATCAAACGACTTCCTTGCAGCTGTAAGAACATTCTGCGAAAACACAGCATAAATATTACCATTTCTTTTTTATGTACAAGTAAATAAGCTTCATAATTTATAATAATGATGCATAAATTATGTTTTTTCACAAATATTTCACACACACATACAACTGAAGCAAGTCTCAAATGCTCTTACCTCTTGCTCCACATACTGCAGCAGGGTAACCCAAGCATTAAAATCATCTGGGTTGTCTTCACAGACTTTAAAAAGTCTTTCAAACTCTGAAGGTATCAGTGGCTCTGTAGGAACGGGTGCTTCCTGTTCAACCTCTTTGGCTGTTTCTTCCAGCTCCATGCCATCCTCTGTCATTTGTGGTGCTAGAGCTCCATCTAGAAAAGGTTTAGAGACTAAATTAGTCTAAAATAATAAATTGAACTGAATTTATTTCATTCAAATAAATGGAAGCATAAACTTTTACCATAAGCTTGCTTTACAATTATCTACGTTTAATGATGTCGCACTGAGACCAGATATTTTTAAATACCTTGACTGCCATCTTGTAGGTATTCCCCAGGCTGACACCCAGTAGGTTCTGCGATTTGATCTGCCTCGTCTGCGGGCGGTGGTGGAGGAGGTGGAGGTGGTGGATGCTCTCCATGGTAGAGTGGGGCATTAGCAAGCTGAAACTGCTCCACAGCCTTCTCCACAGATCCCAGCTCTGAGTTCATCTGCAGCTGCTCTGGCCCTGGAGCTTCTTGAGAAGAATCAGAATCCTCGGGCGAGATGTTAGGGAGTGGTACTGAAGAAACCTGGCCTGCAGACCACTCAGCTGCTGCTTGGTCTTCCACAGGAATTTCAGGAAGATGCTCATTTCCATTGCTCTCCATGACAGTGGACTCAGTGTCCAGCATTCCACTCCAAGAGTCTTCTGGAAATGTCTGGCCTTTTGTAAAAAAAAAAAAAATATTGTGTTGTTACTGCACCCAACATTCAAACGGTTGAAACTTTAACTTTGTCACTTCAAGCAAAAACGTAGCCATTTATTTTTATTAATTTTAGTATTAGATTCATTTTTTAATATCGCTTGGATGAAGACCTAAACAACATTAGTTAAAGCAAAGTGGATTCCTAGAAACGGTGGTAAAATTTCACCATCTAAATAATGTTTAACCTTTATGGCCAGGTGACAATTTGTTAAATCAGATATGACTCATGACAACTTTAGAGGCACAAATTCACAGAAAAAGTATAATAATTAATGCGATATCAGAGTAAACAAAACAATTAATGTAAAAAAAAAAACGAGCATGTGCGTCTTTTTAATTACTTATTTTAATATTAAAAACCATCTGGTACAAGAGTTTAATAATTTTCTTACCAGAGAAGGGTACCTTGAAACGAAGCTATCTCAACCATAAATGAGGTAGGTTTTTTTATGAGGTTAGAATTACACGAAATTCGTACAATTTATTATGATTCTACTTATATTTAAGTTTCTTTGCAAATAGTGAGCTGGTGCAACAAGATATTTCCTTGTTGTAAATTAAATACGCCCTAACCGAGAAGCTAAAAATATGTATCCTCGTGATTGGTAGTGTATAAATAACTACTTTGCGTACTCTACCAAAATGTAAAACATATACATTTAAAATGTACGAATAGGACAGTGTAGCCTGTCGCAATCGATGATCCTCGCATGCTGTGAAACCAGGTCTCGTACGAGGTGATTTTGCTCAAAGTTCAACCTCAAGTTAGGCCCGTCTACTTCAAGTAAACTAGTAGCACAGCTGCTACCTTGACGTAAGCGCCATTTTTAACTTCGAGTTTATTTAATTGCGATCATTTAGTTAGACAAGTATTATTACCGCATGCGGACTCAATATATAGTACGTGATTCACCCAACCGATAGAATTTTTTGTACGTAAAGGCCAGCTCAAGGAAATGCCATGCGGTTTCCTCCATCTCCAGTAATTAGTCGGCACCATGTTCAACGCTAGCTAGCGAGCTAACGACTCTACTAGCAAGGCTAGAGTTCGCTGAATGTTAAACTAAAACCATTCCTAATTACTAAACAACGAAGAAAGCCAGTGTTGGAAATCTCACCTGTAGCGTTCACGTCACTGTAATGAATTTCGTGATTAGACAAGCTCTAAAGTGCAAACGAGAGAACGCGCTTTAGCAACTTGCCTCGCACAACAGACTACTGCGCATGCTCACTCATGTCGCTACTGAGACGCATAAGTAAAGGGGCCTACCAGGCACAAATACAGGGGCTGCCTCTCCAAAACATAAAACCCAGAAAGAAACATGAAAACTTGTCAATAATGATTTGTGCATTGACTGCGGACACACACATGAAAACATGTCAATAATGATTTGTGCATTGACTGCGGACACACACATGAAAACATGTCAATAATGAGTTGTGCATTGACTGCGGACACACAGTGGCAACAATGAGGCTCAAAATGCAAATAATAATAATAATGCATGTAATAATAAAACGAGTAACCCTGATAGACAAAATAACTACAAAGGCCCACAGTTGAAAAGAGATGCAAGGTGAAACACAAAGCAACCTGTATTTTGGTTTGTGAATATAAATACTGACTTGTATATGGAACATGGAACAAATGGCTTGTTTTCAGACCCAGCTGGTTTAAAAAAAAAAAAACTTCCACCATGCTGTTAAAACTAACCATAAGGTTCAAGGTGATTGGGTGGAACCAAATTGTGTACTCAAGGCCCCAGTTACACCCCCAAAATAGCACTACAGTAGTATAATACATCTACGTACAAATCCCATCCCTGCCCTGTTCATTTTGATGTTCCACAGGGCTCTGTTTTGGGGCCATTGCTGTTTCTGCTCTATCTGCTCCCTCTTGGTCCGATACTTTCAGCTTTTAAGGATATCTCCTATCATTATGCTCATGACATCCAGTTGTGTATCTCTTTTCTTCCAAATCAAATTTCAAAATTACACATTTTACTTAACTGTTTGGATTCAATTAAAAGCTGGATGACTGAAAATTTCCTCCAGCTAAATAGAGAAAAAATTGAAGTGATCATTTTTGCTCCAGATAAAACTACTGCAATGATAAAGCAGATCCTTGTTGGGCCTCTTGGTCATTTTACTAACTCCTCAGTTAGAAACCTTGGGATAACCTTTGACATGAGTTACTCTGGAAACTCATGTAAAGTCTCTGGTTCGTTCCTGTTTCTACCATCTGCAAAATATCGCCAAGCTTAGCCATATTGTTTCTCATCCAGAATTGGAAATGTTAATTTGTGCTTTTGTTTCGTCTCGCCTGGATTTTTGTAATGCACTGTACACTTTTTTTTTAACCAAAACCTCCCTAGACTGGTGGCAGTCTGTGCAGAATGCTGCTGCTAGACTCCTGACTGAATCTTCAAAATTTTGTCTTATAACTCCGCTTCTAAATCAACTCCATTGGCTCCCAGTTCATTATTGAGTGGACTTCAAGGTTTTGGTTTTGACTTGGCGAGCTCTGCATGGACAGACATCAATATACATCTCAGAACTTTTACATCCTGACACCTCGATCAGGGCTTTGTGGTCCTGTGATCAAGACCTGCTGATTGTCCCCCAGGCAAAACTAAAAACTAAAAGAGACAGAATATCCTGATGCATGCTCAATAATCCAGGTAGAAAAATCCAAAAAAGTTCAATCTGGTCCTCTGGACATTCAAAAAAACAAAGCTAAAAAATATAGAAACTTTTTTGTCTCTCATCCAAGAGACTTCCTCAGTCTGAGGTGCTGTATTCAGCTCAGTCTCTTAAATAGCACCATCTCAGAGTGGATCAACTGAGGACTCTGAGAAGGTGCTATTTAAGAGACTGAGCTGAATACAGCACCTC